GGGCCATTGGTCCCTTTATTTTCTTCTCACATTTTTTTTTATCCAGCCTCTCTTATCTAGGTGGCCATGGGGGAGCCTTACCTCCTCCTGCGATGTGTTAAGGCCCTGCATCCAACCGCATTCCCCTCCTGTCTTGGCAGGGGTGTAGGGGGAGGCAGGGTTGAAACAGGAAATAGAAACTGAAGGGAGAGAGGGATCCAGTGTGCCTGTGGAGGACCCTTGCTGTCAGACTTCCGGTGATCTTGGGGCAGAAACATGTTCCAAAGCCCTGCGGGTCAGAACTGACGGGAAGACGCAGTCTGTGGAGGCTGCACAGAAGCCCACGGCCTCGTCTTCCTCTGGCAGAACCTGGAGGAGGACTGGATCCCGCCCAAGGGAGAGATGACGCCTGCCCTGGAGCCATTGAGGATGTCACTTCTCTGTAAGTAAAGTGATCCTCCTAGAAATTCCCTCATTTCAGTAAAGGGGCCCAGTGGTGAGGACTTTCACCACATGGTTTCCACATCCTTCGCTGTTTGATGTCCAGTGTACTGAAAAGGAATCATAGGGATTATACTTACTTTTGTTTGCTGGTGGGTTTAGTTGATTCAGGCAGGACCGGAAATCTAATTCCTTTTTTTTTTTTTTTTTTGGCAAATACTCTCTTTATTCAGAGGTGTTTGAAATACACTGAAGGGAGTGCTGACACTCTCAGCTGCTTCCAGCTCGTGCATCAGGGATTAGAATCTTTGCTGTCCCCTTTCTCAGGGTGCCCGGATGGTTTTCCTTTGCAGCAAGAGGACCTCACATTCATGAGACCAAAGATCTAGAACTATTCCCCCTAGATTTGCACCAGCAGTGGTTTTGTTTCCCGTTTTGTTTTGTCTTTAAAACGATACTACATTGTATTACAGAATACTGCTCTGTGTGGAAAGATGTCTGCGGAGGCTTCCTCGGGAATCTTGCAAAAGCCCCATGACTCTGGTAATGCAGTTTATGAAAATCTGCAAGGATGAAAGAACAGAGTGGTGGGGGTGGGGGGGGACCTTTCGTCCATGAAAGTGTGGTAGAAACGGACTTGTAGGTAAGCCAGCACTTTTATACTATAGTTTTCTTTTCCGAATGTCATGTAGAAATGGAATCCGATAGCAGGTAACTGTTCCATCTAATATCTTTTGCTTAGCCTTAGCATTGAGATTCAGCTAGAGGGTACCAAGTTTGTCAAATAAGAGCAAGAGGACAGGCTTTTCTGTGTGGCTGGCTGAATCTCTGCATGATCTGTCTAGGAGGGGACAGGGGTGGGTGGATGTGCTACATATTAATGCTTGTTTAAACCGAGCAAGGTGAAAGTTGAGGAACCTGCAGAGAGGAGAGAAGCATGACAAGATAAGGTCAAGACAGGCTGAGAGTAAGTAATGGACAATTGCTAAGCACATAAATACTTACAGTACCTTCTTTCATTATCACAAAAGCTTGGCCACAATTAAATGCACTTCACATGGCAACAAGGTAAACATTCCTCCAGTGGTCTATGGTTGTTGGCTAGGTACCAAATGCAGAGGAGCAGGCAGCCTCAGTTTTCTCCTGAGAAAAGGCTGGTGGACTTGAACCACTGACCTTATGTGTTAACAGCCCAATACTCATTGCACATTACCTCCAGAGCTCTTTCAAGGTAAGGAAGGCTTCTTCACTTCTTAATTTGCCTGCAGCTATCATAGAGGAACATAAATTTTTTTCTGCTCATATAAGTAAAGGGCATACCATTTGAGAAGACATAAGTAAAATCCCCAGATCATCTAGATGGGAGAGAACGAGAACCATTCGGATTTTATGTATGCCTTTTGTTGTTTGCTTGGCGTTTGTGTCACGAAAGCATTTCTGTCCATTTAAAGTGTCCTTTTCTCTCTTGTATGCCCTCAGACTAGGGTCCAAATCGATGGGTAAAGAATCTGGAGAATTGTTCTGAGCAATTCTCTCTTTAAAAAAGGCTCATTGTGCATTCGTTCATTTTTATTACTTCTCCCTCTGACTGGTGGACTAGAACACATAGAGAGAGAACATGCTAACAGAGTTGCATAACCGCTTGCATCGGAACATGGCTCCGTCCCAGGAAACGGCACTTGTATGTAGTGCTTCCTTGTTGCTTTGTCTTTTCCCAGTTCTCCCTGCCCCTTCTTCCCACCCCCAGCCTTGTTATAGTCTTCAACATCTTTTCCTTCCAATTCTATAACATTGTGTTCTGAAAAAATGGTTTCTGCTATCTGGGTGTTTTCAACTTACTGATGTTGGTTTCTTTTTCAGCATGGTTTGCTGAGCATTCCTTTTTGGTTTTGTGTTGTTTCCCTCTCTCATTAAAGTCTTATTCCCATAACTAGAAATGAGGTTTCTTATCTCTGTGTCTCCATGACCACGGCCATCCCTCAAGGAGTAGGGTGGTTTGTGAAAAAGCTTGTCAGTAGGTGGATTGTGGCTCAGTGGCACTTGATTGATGATACTGTGTTAAATATGTGTGTCTCTGTGTGTATTTCCCCTATAACCTTCAGGATGACATTTGTGTGTTTTTCACGTCAAAGAAAACATCCAGTAAAGTTATTCGCTGCCTTCCCTTCCAAAACTGTAAACTGCTTCTGCTTCATTATAGCTCTGGCTTTAGTTGTG